GCTGCTGATCCAGTGCTCCTGGGTGGGCTCCTGCATGGTCCTGGATGTGATGAACGTCCTCTGGATGGTCAAGATCGCCAAGGGCTGCTTCCGCGTGCTCGCGCTGATGCGGCAGGAGAAGGCAGGCGGCGGCCTCCGCAACGGCAAGCTGGACTGAGCGGCCGCGGCCCCACGGCGGGGCCCGCGGGGGCGGCTCCGTGTCAGGGACACTCGCCACCCAGGGTTCCAGCTCCCTCCTCCCTCCTTCTCCCTCTCTCTCTCAATTTTTACCTGTAGGAAAGAGAAACTAAAGTTTTGTTTTTAATCCCAAGATCTCTTTCTTGATTTTCCCGTGCACTGTAAGCATGAGGCAGCGTGAAGGCTTAAACAAACATGGTGTGGGGGGTCTGTCCAGGCTCCCAGACCTGCCGAGGCGTGTCCCCACCCCCGTCCCCCGTCTGCGGGAGATGGACCGGCCTGTGGACGTGGACGGGCTCAGCACCTGCACCGCACGCCTGCCCGCCTGCGGGCTGCGCGGGGCCATTCCTACGGCGAGTGCCGCTTACGGAGGCCGGGTCTCTGCTCCCTTTCGGATGGACGCCGCCTCCAGGCGCTGCGTGTGTGCAGGTTCCCCGGGCGCCTGCCAGGGCACAGCCGAGCTCCGGGAGCCGTGAGTGCCGCCTCCCCAGTGCCCGGCAGGTGCCCGGGGCCCGCGAGAGGCGCCCGAGGAACAGCGTCCACCCCGCCGTCGCGGCTTCCCTGTGCGTCTCCGTGGAAAACCTGCCGTTTTCATGGCACCGGAGCCCGGCGTTCGGCGCCCACGGAAGCGGTGCCGGCGTCTCAGGGGCGTGTCTGTCCGGCTCCAAGGCGCGCCTCCTCTCAACGTGACCAACGCGATGGAAACGTCCACGCTCACACGTGGAGCTGACGCCACCCGAGAGCGGCCCTTCGCCCACCGCCGCCCGCCCGCCCCTCGCTCAGAGGCGTCTGCGGGGCTCTCTGTGCGGGAGGGAGTCCACGCTTCATGCTTGTTTCCTTTTTAAGGGAAACGAACACATCCCAAAAGACACAATTGAAATAAATTCGGCCCGGCGGGTGTGGCTCAGGGGTTGAGCATTGACCTATGAGCCAGGGTGTCAGGGTTCGATTCCCGGCCAGGGCACAGGCCCGGGTTGCAGGCTTGATCCCCAGTGCGGGGTGTGCCGGAGGCAGCCGATCCACGATTCTCTCAGCATTGATGTTTCTCTCCCTCCCTCTCCCTTCCTCTCTGACCAATTAAAACATTGTTTAAGGAAAGCATTGCAGGAAGTTTAAACAGCGATCAGACACACCCTCCCGTGTGAGGCGGCGGGGGGGGGGGGGGGGGGGGGGGGGGGGGGAGGCCCGTAGCCTTTACGAACGCCCGTTTACAACACGAAGCGAAGCGAAGCGAAGCGAACCCTGTGATGGCTTCATTGGGACACGTCTGTGGCTCCTCTTAGTCCTTCAACCGGTTGAGCGACCAGAGCGTCCGACCGGAGCCGCTGTGGGCGTTCTGGCTGCGGTCTCAGGAGCCCGGCTCTTTCATCTGCCAACTCACTGGCGTCCCGTTTATTTCCAAACAAACTTTGGAAATGGCTCAGCTGGGTTCCCGTGTACGAGGCTGCGGAACCGAGCGGTCCTGGCCTGGCTGCCCCCCACGTGGGGAGGGAGCCCCCCCGGGGACAGGCTGGGGATGGCGCTGGGGAGGCGGGCAGCTCTCACACCAGCTCCGTGTTTCAGACCAAACCCAAGGAGGTTTCTCACGCCCCGAGACACGCTCCAAGAACACCTCCGACTGCCAGCTCGTTCCTCTCCTGCCTACTACCCCCCCTTTCCCCTCCCCTTCCCTCCGCTCCCCTTCCTCCCCCCCACTCTCCCCTTTCCTCCCCCCCAACCTCCCCTTCCCTCCCCTCCCCGGAGGGAGGTGGGTTCAGGACAAGAATCACCAAAAGGGCCGTGTGCGTGGGGACATCCCGGCATCGCTTTATCTCGGAGAGGACGGGAGAGGGAGGGAGAGAAACGTCAGTGATGAGCGCCAGGGTCAGCGCCTGCTGCTCCCCCTGGGACGGCTCCCTGACGGGGAATGGAACGGAGCCCGTGGTGGGCGATGGGCTAACCGGAGCCAGGCTGCAGGGCGCGGGGAATGTTCAGTAGGAAATGGACTCCTTTGTCCGATGAACATGTGGCTCTGAGAGCTCGGTCCCCGGAACCCTGCAGTGTCCATCTGGCGGCTCTCCGGGCTCCTCCGGCCTCCCGCCGGCCTCCCTCCAGCCTCCTTCCGGCCTCCCTCCGGGCTCCTCCGGCCTCCCTCCCCTCCCCGGGCCTCCCTCCGGCCTCCCTCCCCGGGCTCCCTCCGGGCTCCTCCGGCCTCCCCCCGCCTCCCCCCTGCCTCCCTCGGGCCTCCCCCCAGCCTCCCTCTGGCCTCCCCTCGGCCTCCCCCCGGCCTCTCCCCACCTCCCTCCGGCCTCTCCCCGGCCTCCCCCTGGTCTCCCTCTGGACCTCCCTCCGGGCTCCCTGGGAGCAGGCTCCTGTCTTCCCGTCCCCGTGGCAGCAGCGGGAGGAGGAGCCGAAGGTGGGAGCACGGCCAGGGCCACGGCCGCCCGCTGGTGCTGCAGGTCAGGGACCGCCACTGTGCAGCGGTCAGTCCCCCGCTGGCCGCTCAAAACGTTATTTCTTTTCGAAAAAAAGAAACTCTAAGGCAACACCAACACCAAACCAACCAGCCGGCCCAAAAGGTTCTGCGGCCCTTGTGGCTCGGTCAGCTGGGCCCCGGAACGCTGGCAGGTTCCATTCGCATCAGACAGTGTGTGTGTGCGCTTGCACGTGCGTGTGTATGATGTGTATGCATGTGTAGCTGTGTGCATGTGCACGTGTGTATGCATGTGTGTGTGCTGTGTATATGTGCTGTGTGTGTGTGGGGTGAGGGTGTGTGTGTGCTGTGTGTGTGCTGTGTATGTGTGTCCTGTGTGTGGGGTGAATGTGAGTGTGCTGTGTGTGGGGGGGTGTGTGGGGGTGTGTGGGGTGTGTGTGGGGTGTGTGTGGGGTGTGTGTGTATGTGGGGGTGGGGGGAGAAGAGGCGCTCCATCCCAGGCAGCAGGGCCTGCAGGAGGCAGCTGAGGGCAGGCCCTCAGGATGTTTCTCTTCCTCTGCCTAAAAGTCAATTAAAACAAAACAAACAAAAAACAAACAAAAGGTTCCCCAGGCCCAGCAGGTGCCTGGCAGGGCCTCCAGCCTCGGAGCCAGGCTGAAACAGTTTTGCGGATCCCGCCGGACGGGGACCGGCGGCCCGAGGACTCAGGTTCCTGAACCCAAGCGCTGGGTTCCCGGGCCCGTCCCTTCCTGCGGCTCCTGTGCGGCTGCTTCTGGGCGTCGGTTCCAGATTAATTATTGAGGAGCCTGTGTTTACACACGTGATGGCGCCCCGAGGCGGGAGTCCCGTGGGGGAGGAGAGGAGGCCTGGGCAGCACCGGGCGGGCAGTGACCCCGGGGCCAGGCCGCCTGCTGCAGGGGCTGCGGGGGGGGGGGGGGGGGCTGGAGGGGGGCGGCCCAGGCTGCGGGGGCCCAGGCTGCGGGGAGGTCCAGGCTGCGGGGGCCCAGGCTGCGGGGAGGTCCAGGCTGCGGGGAGGTCCAGGCTGCGGGGGCCCAGGCTGCGGGGGCCCAGGCTGCGGAGGCCCAGGCTGCGGGGCCCAGGCTGCGGGGCCCAGGCTTCGGGGAGGCCCAGGGGTCCAGGCTGCGGGAGTCCAGGCTGCGGAGCCCAGGCTGCGGGGGCCCAGGCTGCGGAGGCCCAGGCTGCGGGGCCCAGGCTGCGGGGCCCAGGCTTCGGGGAGGCCCAGGGGTCCAGGCTGCGGGGGTCCAGGCTGCGGGGCCCAGGCTGCGGGGCCCAGACTGCAGGGGCCCAGGCTGCGGAGGCCCAGGGGCCCAGGCTGCGCGCCGCGGGGCCCGCTCCCTGGAGCCCAGGAGGCGCGGGTCCCCGCCTCCCCCCGCCCCGCTCCTCCGGCGCAGTCCCCGCCGCCCGGCCTCCTCCTCCCCCGGCACCGGCTGCAGGCGGGCGGGAAAGCCCGGCCATTCGCCGCCCCGGGAGGCGGAGGCGGAGGCGGAGGCGGAGGTGGAGGCGGGGGCGGAGGCGGGGGGGCGGGGCACCGCGGGCCCATCCGCCCGCCACGCGCTGCGCAGACGCGCGCGCCCCCCGGTGGCCACGGCCGGCAGCGCGGGCGGAAGGGGCGGCGCGGGCGGAGCCGGCGGATGGCGGCGGGGGAGCAGCGGGCGGCGGGGGAGCAGCGGGCGGCGGGGGAGCAGCGGGCGGCGGAGGAGGAGCGGGCGGCGCTGGCCGCGATCTTCTGCGGCCCCGGCGAGTGGGAGGTGCTCGGCCGCTCAGGTGACCGCGGGGCGCCCCCTCCCCCCTGTGGCCGGGGCCCTGCTGGGGGCGGGATCGGGGCCCGGCCACCCGCGCCCTGTGCCCGCCCGGCTCCCCGGACCCGGAGCGCCCGCCCTGGTGCTGGGGGGGTTGGGGAGGTGGGGGTGTGGGGGGGACCTGGGGGTGGAGGGGGGTTGGGAAGGTGGGGATCTGGGGGGGGAGGGGGGGTTGGGAAGGTGGGGATCTGGGGGGGACCTGGGGGGGAGGGGGGTTGGGAAGGTGGGGATCTGGGGGGACCTGGGGGTGGAGGGGGTTGGGAAGGTGGGGATCTGGGGGGATCTGGGGGGAGGGGGGTTGGGGAAGGTGGGGATCTGGGGGGACCTGGGGGTGGAGGGGGGTTGGGAAGGTGGGGATCTGGGGGGACCTGGGGGGAGGGGGGTTGGGAAGGTGGGGGTCTGGGGGGGACCTGGGGGGGAGGGGGGTTGGGAAGGTGGGGACCCTGGGGGGGAGGGGGGTTGGGTAGGTGGGGATCTGGGGGGACCTGGGGGGGAGGGGGGTTGGGAAGGTGGGGATCTGGGGGGACCTGGGGGGGAGGGGGGTTGGGAAGGTGGGGGACTTGGGGGGGAGGGGGGTTGGGAGGGTGGGGATCTGGGGGGATCTGGGGGGGAGGGGGGTTGGGAGGGTGGGGATCTGGGGGGACCTGGGGGGGAGGGGGGTTGGGAAGGTGGGGATCTGGGGGGACCTGGGGGGGAGGGGGGTTGGGAAGGTGGGGGACTTGGGGGGGGAGGGGGGTTGGGAAGGTG